CACAATCCTCGTTATATGGGTGATAACTTTGCTAAAAATTTAGAACTCGTAAAAGAAATTGAAAAGATAGCCGAAAAGAAAGGTGTTACTGCTAGTCAACTTAGTTTGGCATGGGTTTTGGCTCAGGTATGCATCTATATATATTGTTCATATAAATGTTAAATTATTTTATATCGTATAGTCGCGAAATAACGCTCTTGTGCGTTTTCGGAAATCGCCTCCTTCTAAACACCTATTTTAGTTCAAAATAATTCTCATGTGCGTCTTAAAAATATCGAGCACATGTATTAGTGGATTTGATATACCGTAAATTCTCGAAATAATGCCCGCTATTCTGAGAATTTACGGTATATATTTCAAATAACTTTTATTTCGAAATAACGTGCTTATGGATGTCTCGAAATAATGCGCAAGGGCACTTTATTTCGCAACTATACTGTAATTAAAAGTATTCTTAGATTTTGATTTATGTTAAATTAGGGTGAAAACATCGTTGCAATTCCCGGTACTAAAAAAGTAAAATATTTAGAGGAAAATGTTCATGCTGAAAATGTTAAGTTAACCGCTGAAGAATTAGCCGAAATTCGGAAAATTATTGATTCTATTGGGGTTGCCGGAACTCGGTATCCTGAATACCGATTAAAGGTAATATATATTATTTTGAAAAACATTCTTGGATCTTCCACTTTGCACAGTAGCCTGGAAATTTTAATTTCATAAAAATAACTCGTCTATCATGGCGATATTTATTGTCGTTATCAATTTCAAATTCAACCCTATCTATCTGTGAAGTGAATATCCAAAAATTGAGATTTCATTTTACAATATATACTAATTTATTACGTACATGCATATTAGTATGTGGATATATAAATGTATACGTATATATATATCGATATATATTAGTTAAGGTAATTTTGTCCTTAATTGTGAAATAAATTCACACAGTGACATACGTACGTACAGATTAAGGTTTGCTACGTAATCAAAATTATTGTATATCAAATATTTTTTTAGCTTTCAACGATTTCCTTTAAATAAAACGTACTTAATTATTTAAGCAGTTTGGTTTGTGCTTGAAGCATATTTGCTTTAATACTAAAGCAAAGCTTAATATGCTTAATACAAACATGCTTAATAATAAACATACGTATATAACTTATAATTTTAAAAAAA